GGCCCCCTCAGCAGCGCTCCTCAGAGTCGTTCAATGTCTCGGTACTTCTTCCTCAGGATGGAGACCTGGTCTTTAAAGAGGACAGGGTCGAGCCTCATCTGAGAGTGGATCAGCGGCATATAGCCAAACCAGCTGGCGAAAGTGTTCATGCAGCTCTGCCGCTGGGCGAAGTGGTCGGGGTCGGCCCAGCGCGAGGCCCGGGACGTCTGCGTGGAGAGGAGAGCAGAAATCAGACATCGGCCACGACACAACGACATGGCGGGCGCGAGAGCGCGCAGCTCCGAGGTAGCTGAAACCCGCTTGGTGAGGGGTTTCAAACCAGGGGAAGGGCATCCTGCCCGCAGCGGGAGCCGGCGACGGTGAGCCGGCCACCCCCGACTTTCAAACAGCGCTGAGGGCAGTGCAGCCTGGTGACCCGGGTTCAACCATGAGCCAGCCTGACCTGGAGCATGACACCCGGGAGCAGGCCTCCTAAAGCCTGCCTCCACACTGCTGCACCCCATCCCTCGCTCTCCTTTTTTCCAAACCCTCAAGCTATTTCAGAGATAGAACAAGTCCTTAAAAACCACCAGGCGAGACAAGAAGGCCGCCGCTTTCCACTAGAGGTGCACATCCAAGCACAGGCCAGCTGCTGCCCACGGCCTTCAGCCATAGGAGGAAAACACACTGCAGTTATGGTTTCTCAGATCACAAACGCACTTTTGCAGTCCAGATTAGTAGAAATTTATACACGAGTAATTTCAAGCAGCTTGTAACTGATCTCAGCAGAAGTCCTTACGTGCTTGGCATTACTCATGCGCGTAGACATCCTGCAGGGAAAAGCAGGGTGCTTCCAGGAATCCTACAGGCCGAGGCCAGTGCATCAGACAGTACTGTCTTACGGATGGAGAACAGTAACTGCAGTTCCACATTACACCACGTTAAACTCTGACCTGAGGAAAAGACCATGGCCTTTGCATGCATACATGCAAAATACTGTGGCCTGATTTTCCAAAGTTCAGTGCAGCTGTAATTCCTATGAAAGTCCATTGAAACTCAGCACCTCTGGAAAAGTAAGGCCCTAACAGCTTTGAAGCAGTTATTATTCTCTATCTGTATCTAAACTACATGTATAAACATAATAAACTATTATTTAAGATAAAGTATGAATGCTGAGAACCTAAGCGTTGTTTTGTGCCACTTCTCATGCATCTCTCCATAGCACTCAGGTTTCCATTATACATTAAAACCGAATACAAATTCATAAGCTCAAAGCATGTTAATTAAAACATGAAGAAACTGATAAAGTCAGGAACTTGCCAAATGAATATGGTATCAGCCTTGATCTTTGTGCAAGGCCTGACCAGTTTAGCTTAAGTGGTAGGTTATAATGTGCATTGATTACAGACTCTTGATTATACTGAGCCACTAAAGAGCAAGCAAAAGCTTGTTGCTAGAGGATTACAGCAGACATTCTGGCCATCAACAATGAATTTCCATACGACTATTAATCTCTGTCACAACACTGAGCTTATGTTAATTTTTTATTTGTCTTTCAAGGAATTATGAACATGGTCCATTACATTTCCCAAAGCTGCAGGAACAACTTGTCTTTAGGAGAGAGTTATAGTTCATGGCTGACTCAAGTCACCCGCACTATAAGAAGAAAAATGAATGTTCAGACTTTGCCAAACAGCCAAAGCACAGCCCTGTGGAGAGGTGAAGCTCAAACTGGAAGTAACAACTACTTTCTGGATGGCATCTTCTTCTTCATAAAAGGTCTCCTGGGCGCCCAGATGAATCAGAATTGCTGAATTACTACTACAGCACAGAGGCATACAGATAAGGGAGCCTACAAACTGGCACAGCCACTCCCCAGTCAAAGATCCAAGTGATGCTAATAGAAGAAAATGTGAGGGGGAAATAGAGGGCTCCTTCTTTCTCGTGCCCCCTAGTAATCTTGGTACTGTTTGTAGTGCAGATTACAGACACCATGGCAGCACAGATGGGAGGTTGTTTAGGACTTGCAGGTCTTGAAGGACTTGCTATTCCTCCCATCATTCACTCACACAGGGCAGGAGGAAAAGTGCCCCAAGGTTATCGTGTATCCCTGTTACTAGAAGGTATATCCATTCCATATTATCCAGTAGCTGGAAGAGGTTCTAAAGCAAGCATTTCACGGCTGCTAGGGAGTGATGGTGTCACCATGGGACAAAATGTTCCTCGTGGGAAAAAACACTTGAATATCACAAATTACCTCTGTTGTGGCAGTCTGGTATCAGTGTTTGAATCACATTATACACTTTAAAATAGCACAGGGACAGCCTGGTACATTATATTAATTAATAATATCTAAAAATAGAAAACCTTTCTGGAATTTACTTCTGCTTTTAGCATTCCATGACTAGGTCTTAGGTCTAGAATATTTAACTAGAAAACTGGAGTTTACCTGTAATTCGGTCACCAGAATCATCAGTTCTATGAGTCTGGGATCACCATGAACAACATGGTATGAGAAAGCTATGAAGAGAAGCTGTCATCCACAGTAGGTGTTTGACATTTCTCCTTTTCTTTCATTATAATAAGCATATCTAAAGTCTATTTACAGTTCTGCTAACTAAAAACTGAAAAAAAATAGAATTGTACCATTCCGTAAGCCTAACCTGGAAGTCAAACTATTACATTATCAATGCATCCCGACTGTAAAAACATGCTGTGGATACATACCTGTCCCATCATGGTCTCCTTATACTGTTTTTTCTGTGTTACTTTGATTGGAGGCAATTTTGTCACGGCTGACACCAAAAAATTCATTAGAATGTCCTCACAATTGGCCAGTTGGTCCACCATATTCTTTAGGCTGGCAGGCAGGTAATGAGTGTACAGGTAGTGATAATATCTGGAAACCAACAGCAGTGTTATTAATACAAGTCACTGGGCTTTCAGGGATTACAAACTCCAGGAAATTTCTGTCTCAGTTGGGACACAAGTTCTGTACTCAACTTTGGATATACCACTTCCTTTCTTCGGTCTCATCCTCCAACAAGAAGGGAGAACAAATCAGTATCTCATCAAGAGAGTAAATAGTGCTAACGGAGAAACAAAACATACGCCTTTTTTGTAACTGGGTTGAAAGAAATAATGCAGACCTAAGCATCAAGATAATGGAGAAGTAGGAGAGCACCATATTGCTATAATGTGATAGACAACACTGATGAATTCATCCTCCACCTCTTCTTTCAAAACTGTTCAGTTGGAGAGAACCCTATTAAACTGGGCTACTGCTGTCCTCATTGTTGAAATTGTTCTCCTTTGGGCCTACATCATCCCCTATGGCCTGTCTTCTCCTTTGCAGGGATGCGGATTAGACACTCCGGAGTTTGCTGGCTTCGTCCTAAAATCTAGAGAGGTCTTTGGCCTGCTGAAGTCCTAACAGCAGGGGTTGTCTCCAACACGCTGCAACATGCTGATCCATGACATGTCCACTGTACTACTTTTCTAGAGTAGCCAGAAGACTTTGCAGTCTGCAACTGTCAGCCAACACATACCCAGAGCTGATCTGGAAGTAACCTCCTTTCTGCTATGCTACAGGCCATTCAGCCGAGCAGCTTAATGAATTCGGGAACTCTTTGAAGTGTGTAATTCCTGATGTTAAAAAGAGCAGTCCGACTGCCTCAAAATACAAGCGACTTCAAAGAGACCCAACAAGCGCAATAATGATTACCAGATCCCCAGAGCTAAACCAAGAACTTAAATTATTACCCCATAAAAAGTAGACCCATTTATTATCTTTCCATCTTTTCCCCTCCCCGGAAGAATGTTCTTCACCCCCTGCC